TAATCCCACGTGGATGAGAACATTTGAGGTTAGGCTGTATATCTGTCTCTATGTGCGTGCGTGTGTGTGTGTGTGTGAAGTGGCTGCTGAAAGTAATTATCACCTTTGCCAAACAAAGGCATCTCAGATGTAGGGAAGTGTCTGATGAAAGAACGATGACATATCGCCTGCACCCCCTGCCACATGAAACCTCAAAGTGTGTCCCTCCCCCTCAGCATCCTGACACATCATACACACATCCCAGTCCACCCTTACACATCCTTTTATGTCTCCACACTTAGACTTTTCCATCAGCCCCTCTGGATAAGGAAGTCTACCAGGACAGGACAGCTGGGGCAGGGTGGTATCACAGAATACACCCTGTGACAGTTCAAATGTATCACCCATTATATAAAGATATATGGTGTTTATACTGTGGTCTATTCAATTTAAAAATAATCCATCTAGCTGAAAAATATAGCGTACACTCCAAAGTGTGTTGCAGACAGTGCTTAATGGCAGCGATTTTAGTTTGACATCATGCCAAAAAAATAGGTTAAAAAATAAATTTGTAGATTTATAGAATTGTTTTCAAGTATAAAGACATATTAAAAAATAAAATAAAATATATACTGTATCTAAAAATAAATAAATAAGTAAATAAAATAAACAATTATTTATATATACATACACTACCGTTTAAAAATTTGGGGGCAGTATGTTTTTTTTTGTTTTTTTTTAAAGAAATTAATACTTCAGCAGGCATGCGTAACATTGATCAAAAGTGACAAAGACATTTATAATGTTACAAAATATTTATATTTCAAATAAAAGCTGTGCTTCTGAACTTTTGATTCATCAAAGATTTCTAAAGGATCATGTGACACTGAAGACTGGAGTAATGACCATCACAGGAATAAATTAGAATTTTAAAGAAATTCTACATTTAGAATTTTAAATATGTAAAAACAGAAAACTATTATAATTAAATTATAATAATATTTCTCAACATTATTCTTTTTTCATGATTTATTTATGTATTTATTTATTCATTCAAATAAATGCAGCCTTGTTAAACATAAGAAACTTCTTTGTACACTTATTCATAAAATGGCTGTCATACAGGGCTGTCATTCTGGTCATAACAGGGACTACTTGATCCCTAGGGACAGCTGTCCTCTCTGCTTAAACCAACTCTAGCACCCTTCCATCTTTTTGGACAGCATATTCTGAATGCTGCCTTAACAGAGTCCTACTATTAGTGCAATACATCATCCCAACCCTAATGCATTGCAAATGATCTTGAATAATTGATTGCTCAAGATGAGATCAAAGAAATGTATGTGCATACCTTACAGTGGGGAACTAGGTCTGAGACTGGAAGGGACCCAATCTATTAATTATCCTGTGCCTGTGGAAGGGGATCTAATAAACACACATGCAGTAGAGCAAGAGGATAAAAACCTCATTATTTGACCTGCAATACTCATATGTGGTCATGTAAAGATACAGGTACTAAAGATGCATGAATAAACAGCACATCACATGCAAATACACACTGTAACAGCTGTTTACTGTCGCCAACAGGCTTTTCAACTAAATTATATAATTATATAATTTTATCAGAAGGGAAGAGGAAGGTGTGGAGTTTTCTGCAGCTTACGGGTCACAGTATTGAAACATGATTTCCATCTAATAATATTTTTAATAACTCACACACACGTAAACACTCTCAAGCTCAGCTATGTTTACTTTTAGTGTTTACAGATTTCAGTGGTAAACACTTCTGATGTCTTCATGTCGTACTACATGTGGCTGTCAGCCAATAAAGGTAAACCTGACTGTGCATGTGATGTTATGTTTATTTTATTATAATTTTATTTAATTATATTTCTATATAAAACCATTATTTTAAATTGTAATAATATTTAGTAGTATTACTATTATGATCAAATAAATGCAGTATTGGTGAGCATAAGGAACTTAAATAAATAAATAAATAAATAATCAATAAATAATCAATCAATCTGACTGACTGACCCAAACGTTTAAAATACATTAAATATATAAGTGAATGAATGTTTCATATATAATAAGCCATGAGAGGCTAATTGTTACAGTGCTTTGGGGGTTAGGAGGGGTTTTAGGCACTCTGCTTCACAATGTGCTTAAGTACACTGTAATCACATGGCCATGATTGCATCAATGTTTACATGACACTGACTAAGAACAAGCTTTAAGCAGGCAACATCTGAGTATCAAACTGTATTAAATTACAAAAAAAAAGACAGGTGACCTCAATTATTACATGTGGCCTGCTCGTCTGGCACAAGTATCTGGAGGGGTGTACCAATATTAGATGCTCAATAACCCTTATGATATAATTACACTCACCTCACTGCTCATTTTCAACTATTTATGGACACAAAGAACACAGGATAAAAGGGAAATTTGATTAAGCTCTTCACATCTTCAAGGCACCTTACAAAGCCTTCAATGCAGCAACACCAAATCAAATGTCAATTTCAAACCACTTTAACACAGCAAGAAAGCAGTGTCTGGGAGCTCTTAACGTGTCTAGATGAAGGGCGGGGAAAGCATCTGATAAACAGCACAATTAAAGGGCCGGACAAATTAGGCAGAGCTCGGCTGCAAGATTTCATGCAAAATTACGCTGGCGAAACGAGCGGCAATTAACAAGGGGGCATGTTCATTCATTAGTGCGAAAGGGAGTGATTTGCTGGGGAAGGGAAGAGGTCAGCCTGTAGGACTGCCAAAGTGCTAATGTCCCTCCTAGCTTCTCTGAGTCCTGCTGACTGTGACAGCACGATGAACAATACTGGCATGCATGGAGCTAGAGCTCAGCCTGCCAGCCAATCTCGCAGCTAAGGCGAGAGCTGACAAATATACCATCAAACCAATTAGACGGAGTATGGCAAGAGTGGTGGGACACAGCATAAGTAGGATGGACATACCGAGTCATTTGAACAAATGGGTTTGTTTTCTGGAGGCTTGTTTCCATTACGAGGAAAAAAAAAAAACACTAAAAGATAACTGCAAATTCTGACCTTTTTCCTCACAATTGAGAGTTTATATCTCGCAATTCTGACTTTTGTTCTTGAAATTGTGAGTTTATATTCTGCAACTCTGACTTATTTTCTCAGAATTGTGAGATATAAACTTGCAATTGTGAGTTACAAAGTGCAATTTTGAGGGGAAAAAGTCAGCCCACAATTCTGACTTTATAACTAGCAATTCTGGGGGAAAAAAAATAAAACTAAAAATTCTGATTTGCGAGATGTAAACTTTTATTATTATTATTATTATTATTATTATTATTATTCAGTGGCAGAAAGAGGCTTCCATTGTTTTCCAATTTGGAAAGTAAACAAGAAATGTCTTGATAGAATATTAATAAATTGCATTGTGTCATCATAACCTAAATGAATACCAGTTATTATGCAGGAATAACTAAATTTGGGCATTTCAAAACAAAATGGCAGCTACTCTTCCGAGGTAATGGTCTAATCAATAGCATTCAATTATGACTTCTGATATATGGATGTTAAATGCCAGAACTTGCTTCTTCTGAAAGGTCAAATGATGTCAGTTAATCGCCAAGCCGTTTAAAATGTTCAAATTTGTTAAATTGTTTAATATTATTGTTTTATTGTAATATATAGTATTATACATATATTAAAAATAGATATATTATATACAGTGCAAAGTGTGTATGTACCTATTTAATCATATTTGGGGGACAACTGTGTAGCCAGAAGTGAGCTAAATCTAGCAAAACTTTCTTTTGGGGATGTCCTCATTTGTAAAAACTACGAGGAAAAAAAAAAAACACTAAAAGATAACTGCAAATTCTGACCTTTTTCCTCACAATTGAGAGTTTATATCTCGCAATTCTGACTTTTGTTCTTGAAATTGTGAGTTTATATTCTGCAACTCTGACTTATTTTCTCAGAATTGTGAGATATAAACTTGCAATTGTGAGTTACAAAGTGCAATTTTGAGGGGAAAAAGTCAGCCCACAATTCTGACTTTATAACTAGCAATTCTGGGGGAAAAAAAATAAAAATAAAAATTCTGATTTGCGAGATGTAAACTTTTATTATTATTATTATTATTATTATTCAGTGGCAGAAAGAGGCTTCCATTGTTTTCCAATTTGGAAAGTAAACAAGAAATGTCTTGATAGAATATTAATAAATTGCATTGTGTCATCATAACCTAAATGAATACCAGTTATTATGCAGGAATAACTAAATTTGGACATTTCAAAACAAAATGGCAGCTACTCTTCCGAGGTAATGGTCTAATCAATAGCATTCAATTATGACTTCTGATATATGGATGTTAAATGCCAGAACTTGCTTCTTCTGAAAGGTCAAATGATGTCAGTTAATCGCCAAGCCGTTTAAAATGTTCAAATTTGTTAAATTGTTTAATATTATTGTTTTATTGTAATATATAGTATTATACATATATTAAAAATAGATATATTATATACAGTGCAAAGTGTGTATGTACCTATTTAATCATATTTGGGGGACAACTGTGTAGCCAGAAGTGAGCTAAATCTAGCAAAACTTTCTTTTGGGGATGTCCTCATTTGTAAAAACTGTTTTTTTTTAAATTGGAAAAACACAGCAAGTCCGGGTATGAGTTAGGGTTATTATTAACTAGCTGTATATAAAAACAACAGATGTCTACGGAATGTCTCCATTTACAGTAGATAGTAAATATGTGTGCATGTGTATATACAGTATATAGACATGTAACACGTTACAACCCCACACACACACCCACTATGGTACTATATATAAGGAGTACCATAACGGTACTTCTTTCATGACCCAATGACCCAATTAAGGACGTTTCTAGAGCTTGGGATCGACAGCAAGGTCGAAGATATTGGATGGAAGTTACATTTAGAGGTAGATGAAGATATCAAAAGCAAAACAGAAGAGACAGATGGTGAGGAGGAGGGTAATGGAAAAGCAGATACCCACCCGATGGTGCTTCCAAGTGCCGCCTCAATGGTCCAGACACAGTGCAAGTTGTGCTCATAAGGCGCTGGGTAACCAGGAGACAGAATCCGGCCCATGGGCTCATCTTTAATCGTTCCTCCACACTCGGCTGGGTGAAGAAAGAGATAAACAAAGGCACAATCCTTCAATGACAGCTCACAACACTGCAGCACAAAACAGTACATCTTCTACAAAAAGACATGAAACAAACACAGCTGAGTCCAAAAGTCGGAGACCACTAGTGAAAGTGCTTTAATTGTACAATTTTAATAAATATTTATTTAAAATAAATAAATGTTTTATATAATATAATATAATATAATATAATATAATATAATATATTTGTTTAGTTTACATTAGGTTTGAATTAGATTTTGAAATCACATTTTCAATGTGGACAAATATTTCAGGTCTTGGGTATAAATATTCTCACAGTTGAAAACTTAAAATCGATATATAAATATCAATATATAAATATATATAAAGTGTCTTTAAGTGACATGTCCGCTTCCGTAAGGGATTCTGGATTCGTATCTAAATCCCTGAAGCAAGGATGGTACACGGTGTGCTGTGCAGTGATGCATCATCAGGTGGCAGGGACGCGTATAACTTTCCATTTTAAAAGAATACATTCAGCACTGAGCAGAGCTTTATGAGTGATGAGCAGAATAATATGGCCGTATATCACCTCCAGGATTAAGCCTTCCCTGGGGAGGGCATATTTCCTTCGGCTAATATCACTGATAGTGTTGGTAATATGTCCTGCCCCAGACATGACTATCCATCTTACACTGGGGCAATGGTGGTGCTGGTGGTGGTGGGCAGCAGGGGTACAAATCACTTGTTTGTCAGGAGGATGGGGCCAGTGCGTGTGACAGTTCCAGTTTCCTGGATCAGGAAGTCATAAGAGTGTTATATCCAACCCCTGCCATCGTCATCATCATCCCAGAGGTCAAATGCGTGTGCCCTTACACAGCATAAACTCATACATACACATATATACCCTGGAACTGGATCAGTTTGTATACAGAATACAGAGGAAATTCCGAGACCTGAAATGTTTTAGTTATTGGCATTCATTCATATTTGTAGTCCACATTGAAAATGTGATTTCAAAATCTAATTCAAACCTGATGCATTCAAGCATAATTGGATTATATATGAGGAGCTGCCCGATAGACTGTGTGTATACAGTATATTTACAATATACTTTATACAGTACATATACAACTGATAATGTTGTTGAGTTTTGATAGGTAGCCAGAGAGATAGCCTAAAAAAGAAAAACACAGGGCAATTAAACAAAAGTGCATTCATTTTGTAAAGCAACCGATTTAGTCCGTTTTTTAAAATGCAAAACAAACCGGTTTACTCACAAATGTTAAACTTTTCATGAAAACAGATGAGTAATCTGTTTTAACAATTTGGCTCTACCACACAAAAGATTTTGAAATTTTAATATCCCAGAACCTGTTTCTTGATTTTTTTTAAATTCATATTTATCTGATATCATATGCATTTAATATTTTTTATTTTATTTTATATTTAATTTTATTTAGACTGTTATTTTACTTTATTTGTATATAGTTAATTGTAGACAATGCCATTTCGAAAGGACAAATTGGACATTCTGAAGCTTTGAAACTTAACGAAAATAAAGTATTTTTTCCCTCCGTACAAAATGTTAAGAATACAAGTATTGATCAACAGTAATCTAATACTACTTCCCAAAAACAGCACTGAAGTATAGCAAAGTACAATTTTACTTCAATCAAGCCAGTGGAGGGGCATTTCACACATTTGTTCCAGACACTTTCCCTACACACATCTCTCCTTCAGTCTTGGACAAGCAATGACACAAATTACACGGTGGCTGGTGTTTGTAGTCATGTGAGATATTCGTGTCACAGCACGCAAGTCAATGTGTTCAAATGCACACTTCAGCCTCGCAAGCCATTGTTATACATGCTGAAAGGTATAATCATAGACACGGAGACACTTTTGATCTTTTCTGCTGGTAGTGCACATAGAAAAAAAATGAATTGTTGAATGCAAAAGAGAAAGAAAGTAAGAGAAAAGGGAAAATAAATAAATAAATACATAAATAAACTGGTGTGAGAATCTTATTGCATTGAATTCTTTTCTTAATCACTACTTTTGTATTAAGTTTACTTTCTTAGCCCACTAGCTAACAGTGTTTTTTTTTTTCTTGTGTTAATCTCAAATGTTGAGATTTATATATTGCAATATATTTATTTATTTTATTTTACTTTATTTTCATCTGTCTTTCTTACTCTTTTTTTGTGCAGTTTTTTCATCTTATATGAATTTGGTTCTGACGAATGTTCCCATAGTGAACAGCAGAGCCATAAATCACGATGAAACAAACCCATCTTCTTCAACTCCTGAGATGACCTGCTTCGTAAGTCATAAAACTACATTTCTTGCTCTCTCATTCTCTTTTGCTCTGTCCTCCCCTCCCTCCTTTCTCTTACTCTCACCAACTTCTCATTTCTCACTGTCCACCCTCTGTTTTCTACAGTACGAGTTAGTTTCCTGTTGTGGCAGATGAAAAATATTTGCTCATGCCTTTACAGTTCCATTTCTCCTCTCAATATGGGCATTTCAATATTCCCTAAAGGTCTCCATAGGCTCAGGTGGGGAAACATCATAATTCAAACACTTTGAAAAGTGGGTCTGTGGTAAACTCATATTGAGGAGAACCCAGGCTGTGTATAAGAGTGGGTGGAAGAAGATGTAGAAATGAAGAAGAGAAAAAAAGAGGAGTGCTTGAATGAATCGACCCCTCTCTGCTTTGGGGGATTATATTCATGAAGCAAATTCTCAGAGTATATCATACAAGACCATGTGGCAGAATTAAACTTTGTGATAAAATAAGGTAATTAGGATTTCCTGGAACGTCATAAGTTATATTATTTGTGTGAGGGCATCATCTGGCTTCCAATATTCCAGCATTCCATAATGCTCACACCACCCTATTTTGGTAAAAAAAATATATATCAAGTTCTAGCCTTACTATATTTATCTTTTAATTAAAAAAAAGTCCTTAGTGTTGTGTCAATTTTTCCCCATGGTATCGAAAACGGTATTGAATATCAACATTTTTAAAGTTATCGTATTAGAAATGTTGTCCCTACAGGTATAGGCTCTTTTAAATAAGGCAGTGTGAATGAGTATTCAGTAACGTCTTACCGACACACAGTGGGAGCGGGCTGTCCCATGCTCTCCTCTCCCCTCTGAGACATGTCAAAATCTCCGGGCCCTTTAAAGTGTAGCCAGGATCACAGCTATATGACACCGTGCTGCCTGCGAAGTGACCTTTGTCCTCCCGTTTAAAACCAAACTGAGGCACACCTGGGTCCTCACACTTCACCAACTCAAAACCTGCAAAAAAGACAGAAAAAAGAGTGTGTCCTTCAAAACCTGTCTATTAGTGATGCGCGGATGGCGGTTATATCCACGGGCGCTGCGCGGTTATCTAAATCAGACAAAAATACAGGTGCGGGCGGTTGGCGGGTGGATAATTTATTTGAAGCTGCGGATTCGGGTGACGTTTTAGCTCATCCGTGCATCACTACTGTCTATCTATCTATCTACACACAAATGCATGTACTGCTGTGCAATGGCTGCAAGGAGTCAGTGTGCTACTCACTGGTGAAGTGCAGCTCAAAACCTTTGCTGGTATTGTCACTGTTGCTAATGAACTCCAGCCACATGGTGCTGGATGTACTGTTTAGAGTGACATCCATCATCTCTGTGCCTGTGAAGGTGCCCAGCAGTCTGGCACTGTTACTGCTACCATCATACACCTGAAACACACACAAAACAGTCACATACAGTCATCAAATAATTTACAAACCAACATTACACACAGGCACAAATACACACTATGTCACAAAGACCTTAAGCATGTCGTCTTCCTCCAGGCGGAAATCCCGCGCTCTGAGCTGGATCCCTTTACTGGGTTGGGTTTGGATGGAGTAGATGCACTCATGGTTGTTACCGTAGTAACCAGGGTAGTTGGGAGAGAGTAAAACTCCTTGTTTCCCAGTTACAGACGATCCGCATTCAGCTGCAGCAAGGGAGGTAAGAAGTCAAATGACCTCTGACAAATGACCCATGATCTCAGCATAAACACAAGCACACTTTATACACTCATGCTGGCAGTCAGGGGGTGGTGTGTGTTTGTGAATGAGTGCAAGTCAATTTCTCTAGCAATTATTCTAGGTTATTGAACTACACAAATTAAAAGCTGAAGCAAAACTGAACTTTTTGACAATGACAACACTGCCTGGATCACAGGTCTGTTCAGACGCTAATAATTTAATACAACCGACTAGAGATGCAACACTATTGCAATTCTGGACGATACCTATAAGTTAATCATTATTATGATATTACGGATTATAACCAATGCATTAATTGTTTTAAATGCTACACGTGAATTTAGACATCGCATACATTCATTTTTAGAATTTCTAAATATTACAATTAAGATGTATTAACCTGTTGTATTTAAAGATTAATTTTAAGTGAGTGCAAAGGTAATCTAAAAAAGAGGTAATTAAATATTCTGATAAATAAATAAAAATCTCTAATATCAGCCAATAACTGATATGTCATGCATCCCTAGAAACAGCATAATATTTCTCAAATAACATTATTAAGAAAAATATTGGGGGTTTTCTGGATGATGTTTTTTGAAAAATAAATAAATAAATATTAATAACTGACATACCCAACAGACCTTAAGTGAAGTAAATCAAACGTTATTTATTTAAATAAGTTTAAATACAAGCACATTGACAAATAAACAAACATATGTTTACAAATGAGCTGACCTAGTTCCACAAAACTGGTAAACAAATATGAAGCAAGGATAAGCCAGATATTGCTGCAGAAAATACATAATACCTAATTACTTGCTTCAACCGGAATGTCAAAATCATAATGTAAAAAAAATTACATTCTAAATTTAGCATCTATGCCATTGCAGCACTAATTAAAAGGAAGAAGTCTGGTCTCCAAGATACTTATATGCTGATATCTACCATTATATTAATGCTGCTTAAGTATTAGATAGAATTTGGAGCTGGTGCTCTGTATTTTTTTTTCTTCTAGATGGTGAGTCATAACCTTTTTCTTCCTGTCTCATATCGAGCAGAACTCTGAAATGGGGGCTGCTTTAGCCTTTAACATCAGCATATGTGCATGCATGTCTGAGCACATGAGGGGAAATATGTGGTAAAATTGGCAAACAAAGCAAAATGAAAAGCATGTGACCACCTACCAACACACCTTGGCAGAGGGGAACTCCAAACCCGTCGACGCCCCCCTAGACACACCACCCTCACAGGCCCCTCGAGACGGTACCCCGGAAAACAGGAAAAGATAAGCGCATCCCCCACCCCGAATTGCAGCCCCTTACGAGTGCTGAAGGGGGGGACGCCGGGATCTTCGCAAGGCTCCAGATCGTATTCTGAAGGGAACAGAAGAAGGATTGATATTTTGTAGCTTCTTCTGTTATAAATGTCATGTAGTTTAAGCTACTGTACAAAGGTCTCTACCTGAGAAAGTAATGTTAAAGCCCTCATAGGACACAGAGAAGTCTGAGAGGAAACGGATCTGAGCGGTGTAGTTGCCAAAAAGTCCAGCGCTGAGAAGGGGTGGCAGTGTAGACCCGGTCAATCTCCACAGGGGCTGAGAGAAACTACCATTTTCTGTGACTAAAAGGTGGTCGTGTGGACTCTCCAAGTGAAAGGTGTGAAAGATAAACTGGACACCTGCGGAGATTGAGAGAAGGAGAAAAACACTGGATGTAGATACGTAAACTGTTTAAGAGTTCACAGATGCTTCAGTCACAAATAACTGCAGGAAGACATATGTCAAATCTTCAGATTTGACCGGATTTCTGGTGCTAAAATTTTATCACAACAGACAAAAGGCACAAACAATGACTCTGTACTGAACACACCATGTAAACACTCACAGCACAAGGTGGAAAAAGTATGTGAATCCCTAGGCTAATGATTTCTCCAAAAGTTGGCTTCAGCTGTGTTCAATCAGTGAGGTGAGATTGAAGATGTTAGTCAAAGCTGCCCTGTACTATATAAAAAAATAAATGCTCAATTTTGGAGTTTTCTATTCAAAAGAAGCACTGCCTCATGTGAACTGCATCCCAAACAAAAGAGGTCTCTGAACGCCAAAGATTAAGGATTGTTGACTTGCATAAAGCTAGAAAAGGTTCAAAAAGCATCTCTGAAAGCCTTGATGTTTATCAGTTGATGGCAAGACGAGCTCGGCTTCTCTTCCTGAGTGGGCGTCTAGCAAGAAGAATCCTAGAGTGTCAGCTAAAGACTTACAGAAATATCTGGAACATTCTAACATTTCTGTCAAGGTGATTATGATGCATAAAACGATAAACAATAACAGTGGAAGAAAAAACATTGCCGTGTGTGTGAAGTCCACGAGAGCATTTGAAAGTTCCTCAGTGGATAGGTCAAACAAGAGTGAAAAGAAGACTTTGAAATTAAAGTATGGTGGTCCATCATGATTTGCTGGGGTTAGTTCACCCAAAAATGTATTCTCGTAGCTTCATAAAATTAAGGTCGAACCACTGATGGACTATTTTAACAATGTCCTTACTACCTTTCTGGGCCTTGAACGTGGTAGTTCTGTTGCTGTCTATTGAGGGTCAGAATCAGAAAGCTCTCGGATTTCATCAAAAATATCTTCATTTGTGTTCCGAAGATGATCGAAGATCTTACGGGTTTAGAAAAGTTTTGGGTGAACTATCCCTTTAATGCCTCTGGCCCTGAACCGCTTGTTATCAATGACAGAAAAAAAATTTATGTAGTCCTGACCTCAAACGGATTTGGTATGATTTCATGAGAGATTGATTCATGCCATAGTTGAACTGAACCAATTTTGTAAAGAGAAATGGTGCCTGACTGTTGTTCAGGTCTGATCTACAATTACAGAAACCATTTGGAGGAGGCTACAGCTGCCAACCAGTTATTAAATCCATACTTTTTTAATCTCATACTGTTTACAATGTGTGTTCACTAAAGACATAAAGACATTATTGTTAGTGTTTCATTTAAAAAGACTGTCTATTCCTGTCAAAGAAAGAACCAGCTTCAAAAAGTGGCCTCACCTTTACCATGTGAAGTCTCAATCATCCACGTACAGTTGAGGTTATGGGGGTAGAAGTCAGGAAACCCAGGGGACAGAATAGTGCCGCTGTTCCCCTGAATAAACCCGCCACAAAGAGCTAGAGGAAAGAGAAAAATATAAAGACTATTTGTCAAAACACTGAGCACAATCCTACTGAAAGAAACTTTACAGGAAGTGCCCTTCTGAAGGACATCAACATATGGAGGTGAATAATTCCTATCATTACCCAAGGGGACAAATCAATAATGGCCTTAAATATTCAAAGCCTTGTGGAATAGGTGAAGAGAGCGGAAAGGGTAGCTTCAAACCGTAAAGGCCCTTCCAGTCTGGGAGTGATTATGTCATTTAAATAAATGACCTATCTCTAATGTGTCCTTTTCCCAGGCGGTGACCATTTTAGTAGGTATAGAGTGGACCGTACCATCACAGCTGGGCAGAGGGCGACTCCATTGGAAGTTAGGTTCACACTCAAGAGGCTCATGGTCACTGAGGGTGTATCCTGCTTCGCAACTGAACGTCACCAGCGCCCCCACATAGAAATCATTGCCGTGCCGCTGACCGTTGACTGGGATTCCCGGATCAACGCAATGGTCCGACTGGAGCTGCAAGGCTTGAAGAGAAAATAAACAAACATTAACATGGAAAACAATCTATGATTATTCACTCAGGTGGCTTTTCAGGGCAGAAGTTTATTCAAAATGTATTAGAAACTTGGTATGAGGGCAATTTCTGAAATACTACTATTGTACAAATTAAAGTGTTACCATTTGACTTGGTTTGATTATTATTATTATTATTCTATGATCTGTAAAACACAATATATTAACTACTATGAATTTAATGTTTTTTTGTTATAATATTAGTGATAAGGTCCTCTAAAATATTATTATTCTAACAGTTACGGTTTTATATATATTTATACTGTATATAAAATTGTGAATAGTCATTTCCTGTTTTTACGTTTAGATTACCTTTGCTGTCATCTTTGCTGTCATCTTGCTTAATGTTTAAAAACATCAATAATTTAAGAACACTTGATAAATGTAAATCTTGCAAATCTCAAAATCAATTTTTCATGTTGTATATAATATTGTTATAAATCCACACTTAAAATTACTGATTTTAGTTTTTATTTTTTTATTTTTAACTTATTTAAACAACATAGTACAGCATTTTAATATGGTCCATTTATTAGTTATCAGCCATAACTTTTAACTTTTAAGCATTTATCAGCTTATCTATATTAGTCAGACTTTTAATATTGGTGCATCTCTAATTATGCCAATCAAATTAAGTTTATGGAATGTTTTGCTTATTCAGATCATTCAAAAATGGTTATTCTTGTAGACAGAAGTAATACCAATTCTTCGACAGCACTTTCTGCTTGAGTTGATGTACTCAATAATTTAAGATGAATTGAGATTTTTAGAGAAACAACAAGAAAAGGTTACAAACATGAGTCATACCAGCATAACAGCCATTCTTTCAGTTCACAAAACAGAGCTGACAGAGCTAATTCTGCAGTCTCGCATATATGAACACATGTACACTGTAATGTTGCTTGTGTCATGTGTTTGCGCATGACTGAAATCATCTCACAACATAATCACCATCCTATTATATCATTATTACAGGACCTGATTAAAATCACTGCATGTGGCTATTAATTATAATAATGCCTTCATAGCTGCTAGTATTCACAGGTATCTGTGCTATCAGATCCTTGTAATTGCAGCCATGAAATGCATTGGAGATAATATCAACTTTATCTAACTAGCATGCTTTGACTAAATTCTGAGCATTGTAGGAGACTTTGAATATGAATCACACTTATCATGTCTCTTAATTTGAAAAATGCAATTAATAGTTTTGTGATATTTTACCATGTGCATTCTGTAACCAAGTATGTTATTTAAGACTACTGAATAACATTGTGTAACTGTAATAATAAATTATAATGACGATAAAGCCGTTTAATCTGTAGCCGATTTAATTAGTAACATAAGGTCTGTTGTAAACATTCTTTGAACAGACTTTAAATTACAACATAAATATATTATATAAATAAATATGTTACAAAAATGGCTCTTTTCAGATCAAAAATACAATAGTAGATCATCATACTCTCATATCGGATACGGAAGCCAATGTCAGAGTGACTCTTGTCGGTGGTGAAGAGCAGGTACAGGAAGCTGGATGTGCTGATGAGAAACTGAGGGACCTGTGTACCCTGGTAACTGCCAATCAGAGGGGAAGAAGGATAGCGTCCGTCCCGTACCTTGAGAACATCGTAGTTAACCTCTGTCCGGAACCTGTGGATCAGAACAGCGCTATGCATCAGCATGGCAGCTTCACCACAAAGTGAGACTACATGGATTCATCACAGTCCTATTCGCCTGTGTTCCTGCAGGATACCACATATTTACAGCTAGAACAGAGATACCACATCATTAACACTGAAAACTCAGTTCGCTCCAAAACTGAGTTTGGACAATGACATTCTAGCACATCCTAGAAGACTCTAGCGTGGAGATCCCAAATGAGCCACAAAATAATTTTAGGGGCTCTGTGTATAATGACACAAAACAAAACAATGCAATCTGGCAATTAATTAATTAAATAATTAAATAACCTACCTACTTACCTACCTACCTGTCTGTTTAAAACTTGCCTCGTTGAGATTTTTAATTAGCAAATAAAGATTAATTGTTGTTGAATTCCTCATTGGTAAATTGCTTTGGATGAGAGTCTGCATGATGAATAAAATGTAAAATAAATAAATAAATAAATAAAAACACACAAAGCAACAAAAACAATAAACAAAGAAAAAAACAAAACAATGCAAAAAAAATAACAACGCACAAACATAATAATAATAAAATAAAAAAACAAGCAAAAAACAAAAACAAACAAACAAAAAAAGCAGTAAAGTGCATTTGATCCACATGTCTTTGTTAAATAAATGTTCAACAATCACATATGACTGTGGATAAAGCCATTCTATATAAGCAGAGGTAAAAGATATGTATACTGATTCAGAATGAATCCTTGTGATAGCTGGGGAAATGAATAGCCGGATACTCTTATTCCAAGTCTATAGTGAACATCTGCAGTGCGCTAGTGACCTATTTATGCAATGATGATAACAACCAGTAGAATGAAAGACAGGAGGGGAAAATGAAACCGGGAGGCTTATTAAGAACAACATGACAGTTCAGAAAAAGAGAAAATGAAGTCTTGTACGCACTTGTCAAAGATGATCTTAATAGGATATCCTGGCGGAGCCTCGATGATCCACTCACAATTGAGGGCTTCTTTATAAAGCTCAGGCCAGCCTGGGGACAGAATGATGCCGCTAGAAGCCTTGAGGTTTCCACCACATGGAGCTAAAGAACAGGAGAAGATGACAAACAAAAAAAAGATTACAATTTTTGGTAACACTTTATTTTAGGGTCTCCTAACTAGTTGCTTATTAGCATGCATATTACTAGAATATTAGTCATTTATTAGTAGTAATTAAGCACATATTAATGCCTTATTCTACATGACCTTATTCTACATCCCTAATCCTACCCAATACCTAAACTTAACAACTAACTTACTAACTATTAATAAGCAGCAAATTAGGAATTTATTGAGGGAAAATTCGTAGTTAATAGTGAATAAGTGTTCCCTATTCTAAAGTGTTACCCAATTTTTTAATTGCCAAATTTTAAGGCCAACGCTATTTTTTTTCTGTGGTTTTCACATGCTAGAAATGAACAGTAAATCACAGAAATCCAAAAAGATGGAAAGAAACCAGATGGAAAGAGCAAAATAAAAGTGAAAACCAAGGAAGTGAGGGCAGGAGTGCTCACACATAAACTATTTCCTTCAAACAGTCCACTATTTCAGCCCGGCTATAAACTTTAACGTATAAACCTTCCGTCAAAAAATGTAATTTACAAAAAAATCTGTCTTTTCTCACCTAATAATTGAGTGTTTTTCCTAAAATGCAAAATCTAAAAGCAGAATGTGTTCAACAGCTGAAGTGGATGATCTCATCTTTTAACAGTGTACTGAAGGGCATCTATAAAAGGCACTGCTCAATAAATGGCATCAAATGATTTGTAGTATACAGCAATGCATTTCATTAAAAAAAGAGGATGTGTTTTTCGTCTGTAAGAATTCAGACAGTTAATACTTCTTGAGCACATTCCGAAAGTAAAGATTATGACTTTTTATTCCACTGGCATTTCAGTTGCACCAACATTTCAGTCTGTCACCGAATGCACTTAATGTACTTAATGACTGAACAAACTTCCTAAAAGTTCAGTAAATTGCAAACAGAGTCGGAGTATATAATTTTGTTTTTGTTACAAGCAAACTTGTTAATTATGAAATCTATTTATTAGAGAGAGGACAGACCTTCACAACGTGGCACAGCATTGTCCCACACAACATTTCCATCTTTGAGAATGCAGGAGATGGTCTGAGAACCGTGGGTCTTCATAAACCCCTCTTCACACAGGAAAGAGATGGAGCTGCCAAGCTGTAGACTCTCACCATTTGGGCCCCCCTTCCCTATTAATATAATAGGCCTAATATTACCACCCAAGCAAACCAAAATATTTCATAATCAGTGAAACCATTACAGTATTTTCTATCGCAATAAGCGCTTGCGTTCAGTCAATAAAAATCAAATGTAGTTCTTAATTTGTTTGAGAACTGAGAAAGACCATTCCATTAATAGGCGCGGCGACGTGGCCACATAACCACTTCGGGAGTGCATTATTTCTCTAATAATTTTAATGGCCTAGAGTCACAACCACACATCAATTGTTCAGATGATTTGTTTCAAGATATGTAACATGTTTCTGTCCTGAAATCTCGCGTGTGTTGAACTAGCTAATTTTTTACACACCTCATCCCAAACCTTCCTTTGCAAATTCTAAAATGTAATTTTAGAGCTAATAACAGAGGTTTGAGCCATTGATGTGCAGGCTAACACAGTTATTAATGCAGTCTAACGCAGTTATTAGAGAGAGAGAGTGAAAGAGAGAGAGGGAGAGAGAGATTAAGCGTGTGTGAATACCTGCGTCTCTGCGTCTCTCAGCAGTATTCAGCAGCAGCGTCTACTAATAGTGAATCTTTAAGTTGAACTGCTTCAAGAACCTCGCTACTGA